CACACACACACACACACACACACACAGACACAGACACAGACACAGAAACAGACACAGACACAGACACACACACAGGCACAGAAACAGACACAGACACAGGCACAGAAACAGACACACAAACAGACACAGACACACAGGCACATAAACAGACACACAGGCACATAAACAGACACACAGACATTCAGACACAGACACAGAAACAGACACACAGACACAGACAGACACAGACACACACACACACACACACACACAGACAGACACAGACAGACAGACAGACACACAGACACAGACACAGACACACACAGACAGACACAGATAGACACACACACAGACAGACAGACACACACACACACACAGACAGACACACACACACAGACACAGACACACACACACACACACACACACAGACAGACACAGACAGACAGACAGACACACAGACACAGACACAGACACACACAGACAGACACAGATAGACACACACACAGACAGACAGACACACACACACACACAGACAGACACACACACACAGACACAGACACACACACACACACACACACACAGACAGACACAGACAGACAGACAGACACACAGACACAGACACAGACACACACAGACAGACACAGATAGACACACACACAGACAGACAGACACACACACACACACAGACAGACACACACACACAGACACAGACACACACACACACACACACACACAGACAGACACAGACAGACAGACAGACACACAGACACAGACACAGACACACACAGACAGACACAGATAGACACACACACAGACAGACAGACACACACACACACACAGACAGACACACACACACAGACACAGACAGACACACAGACACACACAGACATGCATCTTTATTATGCCCTGTAATCTAATTATAACAGTTTATTTCATGCATGTTAAAGAAAACCAGTAGTGCAACCCACCAATAACGTTAGGGCACTACGGCTAACAATTCAACCTCTAGAAATATATTCACGCTCAGTCTGAATAACCCTTTAGGAACTCTTGCAAATTTGGATTTCACAAACCACAAAGCCAGCCATGTACTGTACAGTTTGATAATGCTTGCAGTAGGAATACATTTCTCTTTTTATCACATACAGCATTTTTTTTTCTGGTATATAAATATACAAAAATTACCACAAATATATTCCTAAAATAATTTTTTTAAATACATATATATTTTAATAAATATATAAATAAATATATATTTAGATAATTAATAATAATATTTAATATAAGTTACTAAAATATTTTCAATCCGAATATATTTATATTTTCCAAATAAATAAATAAATTTAATAGAAACATATATCCAACACAGCAAGTTTGCATCATCACAAAAATATTTTAATATAATTAGCAATGTTTCGGTTAATTGTCCTTCCTCAGGCTTTACTCAATTTATTTTAAGAATGGAAATGTTATCTCCTTGCCCCTTAAAGTGCATTTTGAAACATATTTTGGCATTTGAAGGTTTAAACAATATATTTTCAATTTTAAAAAAACTTATAAATTTAGATACAACTATAAAACTATTTGAAAATCTGGAATCTGAGGGTGCAAAAAAATCTAAATACTGAGAAAATCATCTTTAAAGTTGTCCAAATGAAGTTCTTAGCAATGCATATTACTAATCAATAATTAAGTTTTGACATACTTGCAGTAGGAGACGTACAAAATATCTTCATGGAGCATGATCTTTACTTAATATCCTAATGATTTTTGGCATAAAAGAGAAATGTATAATTGTGACCCATACAATGTATTGTTGGCTATTGCTACAAATATCCCCCAGCGACTTAACACTGCTTTTGTGCTGCAGGGTCACACATACATATATATATTAATATATTAAATATAAATATATAAATATATAAAAATGTATATATTTATAATTTATAATAATACAAAACTTTAACTTTTAATACGGGAAACATTTTTTTTAAGAATGTTGGCAACTAAACCGTTTCGGTTCCCACTGATTTTTATTGTATGGACAAAAAAATACAATGGAAGTCAATGGGTACCAAAACTGTTTGGTTATCAACGTTCTTCAAAATATAATTTTTGTGTTCGGCAGAAGAACAAACGTTCTGAAATGGAATGAAATGAGTGTGACAGTTTAATTTCAGTGTGAACTGTTCATTTATACACCCAAATCTGATTCTCATCCGCTAGATGTGATGCTGGCTCGTGAAGCCGTCAGGATCACGCTCTTACCCGTCTCTGGCATGCCCTGCGCCCGCTGCATCCGTGAGTTCAGCACCTCCTTCGCCGACACGAAGAAAATACGATTCGGCGCTTGAGCTCGATCCACAACCCTCAGCTCCTCCACCAGGAAGTTCACACACCTGTCCGTGTGCTGCTTTCGCACCTGAGACCATTAAACAACCGCAAATCAATGACAGATTTACAGATACACTCACTTCACATTGGGAAACTCTGGAGTAGAGGTGACCAATATAGATTTTTATTATTATAATTATTACAATAATTAGTATACTATGTTATTATAATTTAAAAATGCATAAATATGGGAATTCAAAAAATGAATTCCCATATTATTTAGATGGGAACTTTATTATTTATTTTTCACAAGACATTTTTAATCATATTTTGTCAATAATAAGAGAGGCATCTGAAATCAATTTTTTTCCATTTTCTAACTTTTATTTTTTCCCCCAAATTCTACGAATTTTAATTTTCCTGGATTCCGTCTTAATGTCCCATCACAATTATGTTTTAATCAACAAAAAGTAAATCTTTTCAGTTGATTTCATGATCAACCTTTGCAATTTAATATATTTTTTGAAACTTTAACAATTTGAGAAATTTTATTTATTTTTTTGAAACTTTTATTTTTCCCGTAATTCTGCATTTTCGGTTTTATTTTTTCTGGATTCTGTGTTAATTTAGTAGTCGCTTAACTAAATCTGAATTATGAATTGATTTAATAAAATTTCATTAAACTTAATAATTAAACTTTCACAATGAATGACAGAAGCCTTTAAAATCTAATTTTTAGATTCCACTATATAACGCTAAAATATTTCTGTCAAAGTTAAACCAAACTTTTATTTTGACAGGTTGTCATGAAGAGTTTCTGTGTTTTAATAAATTGTATTATTTATTACTATTATTATTATTATTATTAATTGTGTTACTATTATTATTATCTTTGAGAATTACATTCTACTGTGCAACAATAATATATTTCTGTCATTATTTCTTCAAGTTAAACCAAACCTTTATTTTGACAGGTTGTCATGAAGAGTTTCTGCGTTTTAATAAATTGTGTTATTTATTATTAGATCATTTTTATTATTATTATTATTATTATTATTATATGTTGTTATTATTATTATTATTTCTTCAAGGTAAACCAAACCCTTTTTTCGGTGATTTGCATTGAAGACATTCGAATCTCTGCGAGTATCTTAACATAAAGATCTCATATATTTTTTGCTTTAATATTCACAGACATGAGTTCATACTGCAATCTGACTAATTGTACAGCTCTACTTTTCATGTATTCTTCCAAATTTTGTAAAATTCCATCACATTCCGCATTCGACATTAAATTCCATTTTACTGGATTTGTGTTTTCTGGAAATCACAGGGCCCTAACGGAGAAACTTCTGAGATAAATCATGCTTCTGGCCGCCGGACCTTGATGCTTTTCTCCTCCTCGGACCCTTCGGTCTTCAGAAAGGCCTTGTCTTCATCCGTGCCCTCCACGCTCAGGAAGCAGTTAGTGGTGTGGCCGATGCCGCTGGGTAGCACGCGGTCACGCAGCATGGCGTTGATAACCGTGCTCTTGCCATTGCTTGTTCTGTAACAAACAGAGGACGTTTAGAACATTTATTGAAGTGAAACGCTTCTCTGATGCAACTTGCGATCTAACACAAAACCCACCTGCCGAAAAAAGCCACCTTCATGTGTCTGCGAGCTAACACCTCTTTAATGGTGGACAGTTTGCTCGTGTACGCCTCGATCTGATCCAGCTGCCTCCTGTTTGCAATATTCTCCAGCGACTCATTATTACAGGTTTCTGTTGAGACACAAGTAAACAAAACACATGCAAATATCAACACTACTGTAGTTAACCAAACAAACATTACTAACCAATCCTGCACATTTCTAATGGAGGACCTATTGTTACACTGAAATTCACAGAAATCAACTTAAAATTCAGTTTACCTTTTACAAACTCCGAGCCCTCCTGAACGTAAACTAAAAGCTGCTCAAAAACCTCTCCGATCTTCTTTTTGGCCAGAACAAAACGCTTTAACGGAGAAGGATCCGACTGCTCCATTTCCACACCTGCACGGAGAATATTTCAGAAACATCATGAGAATCCGACGAGATCAGGAACAGGGTTTTTAGCGTTAAATTCAACTAAAACATTTTTTTTTTAAATACTTTAAATAAAATAAACATTAAATGAAATAATATATTATTTCAGCTAGTTGCCAAGTCAGCATTTCTCAATAAATATTCTCTAAAAAAGCCAAAATAAAATACTGAAATAAAAAAAAACTATATAGACATATTTACAAAATAAAAAAACTAATAAAAATTATAAAAGTACTAAAACTTAAATTATAGAAAAAACTACAATTATACTAAAACTTAAGTTAAAAAATATAAATTTCAATATATTTATAAAAGCTATAATAGTACATTAATGATACTAAAATGCATCCTTAAAAGAGATAAGTTCAGGGGACATTATTATGGATTATCATTATTTATTTATAAATTATATTTGCTCACTCTTATCTTCAGGACCTTCACATCAGAGCCAAAAATTGCAAATAAAACAATTTAGAATTTTTTTTTTTGAGGTTAATAAATCTGGAGACTCCTCTCATTAACAAAAGAAGTGTCATAGCAATACTAAATTATTTTATTATTATTATTTATTAAAAACGTTAAAATACGTGCAGTTATACTACCAGTGTATTCTTTAAAGTACCACGTAAATACCATGGTATATAAATATGGTAAACATTCAGTACCGTGTTTTTTCCATGACGTCACACAGTAAATAAAAATACAATATATCATACAAAAGTGAAAGTAACCCATGATGATTATTCATGCTAAAAAACGTCTCAAAAGCAAAATCTGGTGACTTCCTGAGAAACAATTCAATCTAAACACGGTGTTTACATAAGCGTATCAATGCACGCGTGTAAAGTATGGAGTACGAAACCTGCAAAAACAGTAAATAAATAAATACACAAAAAAATACGAAATACATTTGAGAAACTCTTCCCTATTGAAACGAATACTTATTTAAGTTAACATGAATTTTCTCTCTGGTATTTCTAAAACTACAGCTGTAAGTTAATAATCGAGATATCAGTAAAGGTGACATGAGCGTTTAGCTTTAGCGCAGGAGACACATGATATCTAATCATTAATATCTGATTTCGTTTTCTACATATCATATTATCGCATAATCACTCTAGATGCAGTAAAACACATGCATCACAGATCTTACCCGATCACAGGACTGTTAAATCCTCTCCTGTCATGACAAACAGATGCTAAACTCACTGCCGACACCGAACCCGCAACGATTTCAAAATAAAAGTCCCAGACGAGCGTGCTGCTAAGTTCAAAATAAAAGTCACGGCACAGCCGAAAACTCGCTGTTCCTCCAAAAATAAAATTATAATCTTGTGTGCTGTGATTTATTTCTGCCAAACACAAAAGTTATGTGAAATTCTTGCACTTTTCACCTACACTCAATTACGCGTGCTCTGTTTTTTAGGATGATGAAAAGGTTAAAAGTGACAATTTTAGGCTGGTCTGCCTCAGCGGGCAAACAGCGCTTGTCAATGTCAAAATAATTTAGACGGCCAATCAAATCAAAGTAGGCGGGGTTTACCATTAACAAGCAGAGCGCGGTTAAAGAGTGTGAGGTAAGATGAAAATAGCTAAACATTTAATATTTGACAACAGTTTTATGACAGAAATGTTACATGACTGACACTCCACTTTTTCCTCAAACATGACCGTTCAGAATTCAAAATATGGAGTAATTTACGATTCACATAACTGAATATGACCAGAGACATGAAACGTTTTGAATTTTCGTCATGTTAGGCATACAAATAAGAGTATACAAATGCATATTTTAAAATATTATTTACAAATAGATTAAAAGTGATTACTTAAATACTAGCATTAGACCTAGCATCTCATTGTTCGTTGTATTTCTTTATACTTTATAAAAACGTTAACTCCAATGTTCAAACGATCATTACGACATAACTGTCATTCTCCAACAACTAGGCTATATTTTAAGTTTTCATTTCTCTTTGGAGTGTTACAAGCTGTTCGTGAATAGATAAGATCCCTAAAGTTGCAAAGACTAAAGTCTCAAAACCAAAGAGATATTCTTTATAAAAGTTAAGAGTCAGCCACGCCCTCCTAAAACGGCTCGTTCTAACACGCCCCCACATATCTACCTCACTATGTGGAAATATTAGCATAACGCCGCCCAAATGTTCACGCAAAGAAAGAAGGCGTAACTTTATTGTTGCTGCCACCGCCGCCGCCTTGTTGTGAAGACGCTGTGTGTTTCGTTGCGAAAGCAAAAATACTTACTTTGGTTTCTGCGAAAACGCGGACGGATCGATTCATAAAAACATAATTTACTCTCTAGTGTGGAATGCCACGGAATTCGTCAATTTTGGACGAATAAATCAAAAGTAGGTCTGCCACTTAATTCGAATCGCGATATGAACTAGTGTCTGTGAATATTAAAATGCAAAAAGACGGTTTAAATATGAATCCTGCATGTCCCGCTTGCCTCTGTATGTATGAATGGCAGAAACGCGGTTTTGTTTACTACACAAATACTGAAGCACGCGTGACGCTCGCGGTGATTTCCGGCCTCTGCGTTTCACTATATGACGACATGAACACAAAAACGTAGTCTCTTTCTTTAAAACACATTACAAATCTTACTGACCCCAAACTTTTAAACGGCAGTGTAGTAATGAAACTAACATTTATTTCTTACTCGTTTTACATTTGCATTTAATCATGTAGCAAATGCTTTTATCCAAAGTGACTCACAAAACATTTATCAACATAGTAAGGTTTCAATTATTTCAAATCACAGCTGAAATCATCTACTGTTGGTTTTCTTTTAAATGTCTTAGTTAATGGAATCCATAAATCCATCTTTTAAAACTATGACAAGGTTTAGCACTTAGATCGACGTGTTTTTCCTTTTCAATTTGTCTTTCAAGTATACTGTTTGAGTCACCTCTACATTTGATCAGCTTGAAGGACTGGGTTGCTCTTTATGGTCCATTTAAAAATGCTGGCCTGAGTTTGTGGATACAATATTGATGCAAACCTGCAGAAAAAATCTGACTATAAAGTGCGAGTTTCTCTTCACCTCTATGTTCTTGACCAAATCACTGAACCTCATATTGCACCAGGACGAGTGTTGTGGTGTACTGTAAAAAAATCACTTCTGATCAGGTTAAAAAAAAGATTAATAACTACTCATGAAGACAAAAAATTGAATAAAAAGCTTCTTAACACAGATTCAGAATTATATATTAACAAAGAAAAACAGGCAGCCTATATTGTCTATCGGCAATAGTATAGTGATGTCTTCCGTCAACGTGCTGAATTTGTTTGACAAATTTGAATCCGATGCTAATTATGCATGGGCATATCTTTCAAATTTGCTGAACAACCGTAAAAGCAACCACACTTTAAGGCAATTTCTTCTCTTCGTCCCACATATCAATCTGAATCCAGCATCCTTGTGTGTTTTTCCATAAACAGACCAGAATTTCTGGTTATGCTCGTGTTTAAGTAAAAACAAAGGGCAGAATCAAATTCGTATCAGCTGAGTCTTTATTTGTGCAATTCAAGAGAACCATAAACAACAATACTCCTTCAGCTGAACATCACAACAGGTGCAGAGTAGAATTAAATGAGATAAAATAGAAATAGAATAGCAAATCTGAATAACTGCTCTTTTGATCATTATAAGGCTGCAGTTTACTAAAAGTTTGCATGTATAAAACATGTGCATTTAAATTAAGTGAATTTATCAATCCTAACTACTGTAGTATCAGCACACTAATACAACAAATGCATTATCACACACAAAGAGTGCAATTATTGCACATGATGCTGTTTACAGAATTATTCTTAGTAAAGCACCTGCAAGAAAAATAAATAGAGGATGCATATAAACATGCATATCAACAAAATATACAGAGAATTTAATAGAAGGCGCAAATGATCAGATTTAAAACCATTGCTGAATGTCAAGTAAGTCATGGATATATCAATATAATACAATTTTATTTAAATGTGTATATATGAACAATATCACACTCGTAGCTGATATAGAGCGATAATACTACACTCTTAAAAATAAAAGTGCTTCACGTTAACTCCAATGTTCAAAGGATCATTACGACATAACTGTCATTCTCCAACAACTAGGCTATATTTTAAGTTTTCATTTCTCTTTGGAGTGTTACAAGCTGTTCGTGAATAGATAAGATCCCTAAAGTTGCAAAGACTAAAGTCTCAAAACCAAAGAGATATTCTTTATAAAAGTTAAGAGTCAGCCACGCCCTCCTAAAACGGCTCGGTCTAACACGCCCCCCCATATCTACCTCACTATGTGGAAATATTAGCATAATGCCGCCCAAATGTGCACGCAAAGAAAGAAGGCGTGGTTTCAGTAACCGCAGTTAGTGTTGAAGCAGCATGTCAGGGAGACGCTGTGTGTTTCTAGACGAAAGAGGCGTAACTTTATTGTTGCTGCCACCGCCGCCGCCTTGTTGTGAAGACGCTGTGTTTCGTTGCGAAAGCAAAAATACTTACTTTGGTTTCTGCGAAAACGCGGACGGATCGATTCATAAAAACATAATTTACTCTCTAGTGTGGAATGCCATGGAATTCGTCAATTTTGGATGAATAAATCAAAAGTAGGTCTGCCACTTAATTCGAATCGCGATATGAACTAGTGTCTGTGAATATTAAAATGCAAAAAGACGGTTTAAATATGAATCCTGCATGTCCCGCTTGCCTCTGTATGTATGAATGGCAGAAACGCGGTTTTGTTTACTACACAAATACTGAAGCACGCGTGACGCTCGCGGTGATTTCCGGCCTCTGCGTTTCACTATATGACGACATGAACACAAAAACGTAGTCTCTTTCTTTAAAACACATTACAAATCTTACTGACCCCAAACTTTTAAACGGCAGTGTAGTAATGAAACTAACATTTATTTCTTACTCGTTTTACATTTGCATTTAATCATGTAGCAAATGCTTTTATCCAAAGTGACTCACAAAACATTTATCAACATAGTAAGGTTTCAATTATTTCAAATCACAGCTGAAATCATCTACTGTTGGTTTTCTTTTAAATGTCTTAGTTAATGGAATCCATAAATCCATCTTTTAAAACTATGACAAGGTTTAGCACTTAGATCGACGTGTTTTTCCTTTTCAATTTGTCTTTCAAGTATACTGTTTGAGTCACCTCTACATTTGATCAGCTTGAAGGACTGGGTTGCTCTTTATGGTCCATTTAAAAATGCTGGCCTGAGTTTGTGGATACAATATTGATGCAAACCTGCAGAAAAAATCTGACTATAAAGTGCGAGTTTCTCTTCACCTCTATGTTCTTGACCAAATCACTGAACCTCATATTGCACCAGGACGAGTGTTGTGGTGTACTGTAAAAAAATCACTTCTGATCAGGTTAAAAAAAAGATTAATAACTACTCATGAAGACAAAAAATTGAATAAAAAGCTTCTTAACACAGATTCAGAATTATATATTAACAAAGAAAAACAGGCAGCCTATATTGTCTATCGGCAATAGTATAGTGATGTCTTCCGTCAACGTGCTGAATTTGTTTGACAAATTTGAATCCGATGCTAATTATGCATGGGCATATCTTTCAAATTTGCTGAACAACCGTAAAAGCAACCACACTTTAAGGCAATTTCTTCTCTTCGTCCCACATATCAATCTGAATCCAGCATCCTTGTGTGTTTTTCCATAAACAGACCAGAATTTCTGGTTATGCTCGTGTTTAAGTAAAAACAAAGGGCAGAATCAAATTCGTATCAGCTGAGTCTTTATTTGTGCAATTCAAGAGAACCATAAACAACAATACTCCTTCAGCTGAACATCACAACAGGTGCAGAGTAGAATTAAATGAGATAAAATAGAAATAGAATAGCAAATCTGAATAACTGCTCTTTTGATCATTATAAGGCTGCAGTTTACTAAAAGTTTGCATGTATAAAACATGTGCATTTAAATTAAGTGAATTTATCAATCCTAACTACTGTAGTATCAGCACACTAATACAACAAATGCATTATCACACACAAAGAGTGCAATTATTGCACATGATGCTGTTTACAGAATTATTCTTAGTAAAGCACCTGCAAGAAAAATAAATAGAGGATGCATATAAACATGCATATCAACAAAATATACAGAGAATTTAATAGAAGGCGCAAATGATCAGATTTAAAACCATTGCTGAATGTCAAGTAAGTCATGGAT